GGAGTTAGAACTAGAGATTTTTTTTATATATTGGGTGTTAATTTGCAAAAATTTCTATTTTTAAGAGACTAAAATCTGAGATGACTGGTTAAAATGATTAGATTCTCGTTTAGTTATTAGTAAAAATGTGATAACAAATCAGCTTATACTCGTTCGGAATACAGGGTAGTTTCAACTTGGAAATACCTAAATAGGCCCAAGCCCTTGCTTTGGTAGGAGCGAGACCTACCTTTGGTATTCAAAGGATCTCTGGCTCCGCTTTTTTATTGGTCAAGAGGAGCAGTTGTCAAATAACGTTTTGAGTTTTTTAAACCTTTAATGAAATCAAGAACTTGTACATTAGGCAGTTATAAGCATATAAGCTCTAGAAATTATCAGAAAATATATTGAAGACTAACTTTTATTTTAGAGAGCTTAAAAAAAGCTGGTATCGGCCATGTAATTGTCTTTAATTCCTTTGAAGCAATTTTTAAAAATACAGTTTTTTTAATCTCAAATGTATGAAATATAAGTCTTTCTTCTGTTATTTTAATAAAATTAACTCTTATATTTTTAACAAATATGAATGAACTAGTATAATAAGTTATGGAGTTTAACGATTTATTATTATTTTAAGGATTTATTATTATTCAAATGTTATTCAAATACTTTAATAAGATTTATTATTATTATTATTATTTTAAAAAAGCTTTAATTGCTTAGGCATTATAAGTTATGGAGTTTATTAGCTCTTATACCGTAACGAGAGCCAAAGGCCCTCTTAAGTACTCGTGCTAATACCTAACGTCTAAATCTTGTTTCTCAATTAGAGACCTAAAAGTATTCTTATGCAGCTGCAAGAATTAACATAATTGACCTGAATTTTGTTGGTTGTGCTTGGAAAGCAATGTTCTCTTGTTATGTTCTCCTCAAGATAGATATTCTTTTTTTTTTTCTTTTGATAAGTGGTTGGGCTGCTTTTCTTCAGAAGCTGGGATTGAACCTAGAATGTAACCATCATCCTTTCTCAATGAGGAGAAAGAACCATTGAGTCAAAGTTAGGAGTCAGTTTTAAGTGAGAGAAATTTGCTAGGCAATATTAGAAGATTCTAGATCCCATCTTGACAACTTCATCACATGGAAAACACTCCATTTCAACTTGGGATGTAATGATCTACCAATAGAATGGTTATGATATTAGACTCCTGTATGCCGTGATATGTTGTGCCACTAGAATGATAATTACTTGTGCTGTAAATGCCATTCGTTATTGTTATGTATGTAATTCTTTTATCTAAAAGAACCATGTCAGTTAATATTGCATGTTCAAATGCTGATCACATCTTTCCTCCAAAGATGGAACCTCCTTTCTTCTAGTTTCATTAATAAAATATCACTGTGTGCATCAGTAAGGTTAGAGTTGCAAGTAATGTATTTCACCATTCCTCTGGTTGAATGTGATTTCTTCTGACATTAAGCCATTTCTGCCTTGCAGATGTTATATTTCTGATATATTTGTACCAAAGGTGGATTTATCCAGTTGATAAAAAACGGGTCAATGAATTTGGTTTTGGTGGGGAGGATGACCAGGCTTCTGAAGGTACAGGTGAGGTTGCTAGCAAGGAAGATGAGAAGAAAACTAATTGAGCTAGTCTTCTGTTCAATCTCGAATCCATTTTGATGGCAGAAACACCACTGTAAGATTCAGTTAGGAGGACTTTCATTGGCAGCATTACTTATAAATTCAGTTGGGACAATCTTTTCGTCCTTTTAGATTTTTGTCTTAGAAATGGAGTTTATACTTATGATTCTGGAAAAGGTTAGTTCTAGGTCTTCGCATCTTTTTGGGAAAATTCAGAAGGGGCTGTAAAAAAAGCCGATATTCTATCACTGCTTACTGGTTTTTATAAGCTTTTTGTCTTTTGGAGGGAGGGAGCTAAGATTTAACTTTTTTCCCTCCTCTTGTTAACCTTATTGATGTTTGTTTATCAAAAAATAATTTCAAAGTCTGCTTATCATTTTCTTTTTCTAGAGAATTAATAGTCAAAAAGGGTTTATTTGCAAATTTGGTAGTGTTTTTTGCTCATTTTTTGATTTATTTGTCTCTAACTTTTCAATTTTTTTTTAATTAATCTTATTATTTCTTTTTATTTCCTCATGTTTACTTTGCAATCAAATTACTTAAAAAAAAAAAAAATCTGAAAGTTCATCATTTTCCAAATGGTAGTCATGTCGGTATAAATAAATAACATGCTTTGTTATATAGATAAATAAATACCCAATATGTAAGATAAGAAAATGAAAATTTTTGCCTGACTGGTTTATTTTCTCCTTTCTCCCTCCGTTCCAACTTTCTACTCTGCTTATCTTCATTCCCTGCTTGATCCACTTAACACATTTTCCATAACTTTAAAACACTACATATGGAAAAGAAATATGCAAAATCTTCAGTAGAATACATTTTTTAGGTTAATATATATTACCTTGTAATAAAAATCTATTAATGCTAACAGCTTCAGCAATCCAACTTTCCACGTTCCTTCCTCGCTTCTTTCTCCATCTTCTTCTTCTTCTTCTTCTTCTTCGTATTCGTATTCGTATTCGTATCATTATCTTGTGTATCTGACAGTGAAGTGAAGCAAGCTGCAGCAGCAGGGTTGGAACGGAGAGAAAGAAGAGAAAAAAATGAAAATGGGTCAGATAAAGTTTTGATTTTTACAAAGTGAGCCTTGTAAAATCTGTCATTAATTTATGTAGAATGATTAAATTAAAAACTTAAATATTAAATGTTTACAAAGTCAAAGCCAAAATAAAAATTTAGAATCAATTTTACAATTAAACGATGGAAAAATGAAGATGAAAGGAATAATGTACAAGTATCTTACAGTGTAATATCATATTTTATTGTCATCGATGAACCCATAAATAATTTAATATATAACTTTTTTCCCTTCCCACGTTCCTACGTATATTATATATATTGTTGCTTACATTTAAGATTTTAATTTGAATCCTTCGTTAAATTTAAACCCACAATATAGCTTTATTAAAAAATTAGTAACATAAACATCTGCTTGTTAATTAATACCTCTGTATTTTAAACTCACTGTGGCAAATTTTCGTTTAGGCAGTGGTGAACTTACCCAAGTGGAGAAAGCAAGTGATTGTGAAAGTTGACTATCAACTAAAAAACAAGTAATAAAACCAAGGGGTCTCTCTATCCCATTTACCCTCCTCTCCCATTCTCTCCTCCACAGTAAAAAGTTTGTTTTGATTCTTACTTTGTGCAAGGTCAAAAATTACATTCAATTTAAAAGAACAAAGAAAAACTAAAAACAAGTCATACAACTTCCGCTTCTTAAATTAGTAAACTCCCACATTTTACTTTTTACCATATGCTATGAAAGCTGTTAAGATAATAAAATTCCCAAAACTAGCTCTCACCAATGTGAAGCCTGAAAAAAGTCTTCTACCACTTTTAATTTAGTATTTGCTATTCATATGCCAATGTTGTAAGATTGTTTGCAGTAATTAAATTTAACCCTGCGGGGTATACTTCTCCATAACGCAAGCCAATTCTTCGTCAAACACCCTCTCCATTTCCATCACTTCTTCCCAGTGCCTCCGCCTCAGCTCTTTCTCTTCTTCCAAATGCCTGTGGCTCATAGCACTCATCCTCTTTTCATGTGCTTCCACCACTTTATCCCTCTCCTCCACAAATTTCCCCACGTACTTCTCTTGAATCTCGATTTGCTTTGATCTTTCCTCAGCCCTATGGCAAAACACAAGAGAAACCCATGATAAAAGCAACAATTGTATTAAGTGGCTAACATGAATGTCACTATATGCACTTGCATTTAATGATTCATCATCATTGTGCGCTTACTTGCATCTATATTCATCTGCATTCGAGGGATTAACCATAACATTAAACTGGTTAATCTTTTCACGCTCTTCCTGCTGCAGCTTCTCAAAATCCTCTTCCTTCGCATCCCGTGCTTCATGGATGACTTTGATTTGCTCCTTGAAAAAGTTGTCTTGGAAATCCATCTTTGGAAAGATTTCACAGTCAGGTACAAGAAACAAGACATTTAATTAGGACAACTGCTTTATCATAAAGCTAATTACCACATCCCAAAAAAAATTAAAAAAGAAAAGAAAATAGTAGCAGCATATTTGAGTAAACAGTACAAGAATGCAGCCATGTATTAAGCTCAACCTATATATTCATTCTCCAAAGACTAAGGCCGTTTTTGGTATATGAAAATATTTTCTAATATTTATGTTCTATTGTTAGTACTTCATACCAAAAAAATAAGCAATAGTCAAAATTGAAAACAATGTCTACAGAATGAAAATGAAAATGAAAATCTGATATAAGTTGGAAAATAATATAAATTATTTTTTCTGTCCTTAAAATTTGTCACTCATTTACAATCAAGTACTCTGTATATGTCCATATATAGACACATATCCATGTTTTATGTATAACATATATGACTGTAAAAACGAAAAAGTAAAAAATTATTTTTTACACCAGAGAAATCCTGACTTTCTAACTCCCAACCAAACAAAGAGGATGTTATACACATTTCGACTAGCAATACTGCGGAGATATTTCACAAACAATACCACTTTCAAAATGTTGCTCTTACTGTTGGAGTAAAAACTACATAACAAAGAATAAACTATGTAGGCCGAAACAAATACCTCTTCCTTGTTTTCTTCATGCTGAACCTTGGTTCTCTGTCTCACAATTCGGCTATCCTCAGCTGTTTGGCGTAGCTTCTCAGTCACAACACCAAGAGACTCCTCAAGAGCCCTCGCATGTGTCTGCACCCTTGAAAATCTGTTCTTGAACCAATTAAGCTGCTGGTTGTCCTCACTCATTTGCCTGAATTGACTCACAACCATCTCCTGATAAGACCTCATCTCAAATTTAAGCCTAGATTTTCCTGCCGCAAAGAATATAAAACAACTTGATAACATATTATTGCTCCACCTTATAAGAAAATGGAGAAAAAATATTTTATGCTTTCACTTGTCTCAGGGAGATTAAAGGGAAGGAGAGAGAACCTTGGCAATGTTGGTTGAACAAATCCAGGTCTCTTTTCTGCACCATGAAGCCATACAGTTGTCGCTTGCCACCTGGATTAAATAAAACACGCCGATGACGATTGTCCCAAGCATCCCTGTGGGTTCCTTCATCAATGAAATGCTTGTGAAGAAGTTCAGCCTCAAGATAACCATTAGCTGAGCTTTCAAAAATAAGAATGCTCATTCCCCGATGTCCCTGTGGACCATAAGAGTGACGAGCCTTCACAGCAGCATAGTCTTTGAAGTAATCTAAAAGTTCTTGATTTCCCATGCCAATCCACTTAAGTCCAAAATTCAGACAATAGTTAGAATGTGATATCAAATCCTATAAGTGATTTACACAGAAAGAAGAACGCATAATAGATAAGTTTGAATATCAATTAGCACTTAAAATATCATCTCAGAATTAAAACATGATAGTACCTTGTCGTTCTCATCTTTATCAAACTGGGTATTCATGATGATTACCATGGGTGGCCAAACAATTTCATGATCCTTCTCTTCCCCTAAACCTTTCCATTGACCAAATACTTCACCTGCTGGTATAACTGACGCTCCCCTCCTGTGCAATTCCTCTCCCAAAAGTTCTGCAAATTCTCTGTGGAGTTTCACCCTTTGTGCTCCCTTCGTTTTCGCATGTGTTATCAATGGATGCAAGCCTCTGTACCAGTCAATCGCACCGGGACCACCTTGGCAAGCTGGACAATGCCACTGCCTTTCTGGCTCGTTAATTTCTTGAATAGTCAAACTATCCAAGCTCTCAAAAAATTTCTTAAACCATCGATTCTTCTTCCGTGTGTCATGGCTTTTTTGACTAGAATCTGAATCAAATTCATCACTTAAAAGCTCATCATCATAATCATCCAAAGCATCATCAGTAACATCGTCATCGTCATCGTCTTCATTAACAACGTCATCGTCTTCATTAACAACATCATCGACCTTCTCCTCGATATCCAAAACTTCATTGCCTTGGCTATATTTTGAAGTCTCAGATGGAACAGAACCAACTCTAGATTGCCAATTCCATCCATGCTCCAATGGTGGGCCAATGACAGCTTGAGGCGCAGGATAACTGTTCCCAGATCCCCTATTCACTATTTTGGCCCTCATATTTCCTCTGCCAGTTAGAATCTTAGAATCAGCAGTGTGTGTGGCCCTCACATTGGTCTGCATACCAGGTTTCTTAATTGCATCTTGATGACCCCATGGTTTTGAATTGGGATTCTGAGAAACCCAAGATCTTGCAGCGCTGCTTCCAGCTTTGTTCTTAGACTTCCTTGACATAGTCTCCCACTGACCATCATCGTTTTGTGAAGAATCCATGACGATGCCTGCCACATCTTGACTCAGCTTCTCAACCTTAGGGCTAGAAACACTAGATGCATTTTTCCCCTTGGATAACTGGTTGCTGCTGCTGTCAGCAACAAAAGGATTTCCACTCCCTCTTCTTGAACTCATTTACGCCTATTATTCAGGATGAATTATGCAAGTAAAAATCCATTCAGGTTAAATATTTAATCATTGACGTAGAAATTATACAAGAATAACATGTTATAAATGTGGAGCACAAACAGAGTTAAACTTGACCTCAATAAAATGGACAAAGAACTAAGAACATCTGACACCAGTAACATTAGAAGCATAAACACAAAGCTGCATGCATCTCTTTGGTAAACAGACGGGAGCCCATTTCATAATTATTCCCAGATGGTTTACTACGTTTATCTAATTTTTGTGGCTAACTCAAACAAATGAATTTGTTGGGTCAACTGGAAACTAGTTCCAAAACCTGAGAAGTAGATATAGCAAATAGACAACTGGGGACGCTACCATGGGACTTGTTTTTCCTGGTGAAAGCAAAGATTAGAACCCCAAACCAAACAAGTGATTTCATTCAAATAATCATCCCAGAGAACTTTAGCCACTCAACTGGCTTGTAACCCTAAACCAGATACAGTTTTCCACCGTTACCACGGAACTTAATCAGTATTACTTCT